ATAATCAACCTATTGGGAATATAAATACAGCAAAAGCTCAAGAGGAAATTTAGAAGTGAGGTCTGAAAACCCCTGAGCAACCAACTTTCATCCCACAAATCAATCATCAAGAATCCAAGATTGTCAAGTTGCCAAATCTTCCAATCAGCTAAAATTTGTAGACAAGATCAGAAGGAATTTCTTTTATAATCAAAAACTCAAAATAAACTTAGCAAGATTTAATTATAATTGTTGTATGAACAAAGGTCATAAAAGAAGAAGATTACATGCGGCCAGAGTCAGCTGGATGCTCCAAGGAATCCAGGATGAACCGTTCAAAAAATAAAAAAACTAAGACTAACACAATATAGTTAAAAGTGAAAATTCTGAACCAGCAATATATTTCTTTTTTTATTTTTTTGGTTAATAATTGGTTACAGAAGAGGGCGGGCTGCATCTTTGCAACCGAAGGTCATAGAAAGGACATCCCAACAAACAGGGTAAAGTAACCTTCCATCAAGGAACGTAGCGACTCTTCCCTTGAATAAAACGTACCGATACTAGTAATTGGTACTGATATTTGTTTATACATAGAATTTGATATATAACTTGAAAATGAAAAATAGAAGAGGAGAGAAAAACCTTAATTCGGCACATAGTGTCTGGTAATTGAATAAAAGTTTCTTCATCTGTTCTCTTCTTCCCTCCTGTACGCCGACACCACTTCACTACTGGCTTGGTTTGCTGGCAGTTTCCCCACTGCAAAACATATTAAGCGCTCATCACGAAAGGGAAGATGAGTCTAAATTGTTCATGGAAAATAAAAAACTGAAATAGAAGCAGACAGTAATCTTCCATCTAGTTTTAGTTGGTTGACAAACGTAAACATTTTCCTACAATCAAGAGTGTCAAATTAGGCGAATTTCGCTTTTGGTCCAGAATTTTTGATGCGGAATTTCATTTCCCATACCTTTTCCTACACTTTGTCACAAGCAAACATTTTTTAAAAAACTCCTCAAATGAATACTCAATTTACAGAATCGTAGTAGTCAGAAGTCTAAATTTATCGGAGATCGAGTAGAACCAGGGGATTCATGAAAACGCAAGTATTCCGAGCAATTTATGCATTCTTACATGTTTCTGCCTACATTCACACGCATGTAAAAGCAGATATGCGTAGAGCGAGAAAGGGAATTACAGAGGTGGGAATCACGGGAGAAGGCTGATGGACATGAAGGATGCAAATTTCTCCGCAGCCGAACCGCTCGAAAGTCCAGCGGAGCAAGGCAATGGCCTTGTCCAAGGACTTCCCCAAGGCCACGTATACTTTCGTGCCGGCTTCCTCGACGATTTCCCGCGGTGAGGGGTCACCGTCCGAGTTGTCCGATCAAACCCACGTTGGAAACTCGCCGGAGGAGAAAACCTAGAAAATCGATCCAGCGGGATCCGGAGGACGAGTAGGGCTAAGCAGCTCCATGTTTCGCCGGTAATAGGCAAAAGCAGACGCCGGATTAGCCGGAGCACTTTTGTTCGCTCCGCCCGCGCCATCCAAGGGACTTGCGGGGTGATGAGAAAATGAAGACAGTAAGATTCCGTGGAATGATGATTTAGTTAATTATAAGGAAGATACTTCCCTGCCGAAGCTGACTTGACTTTCGCTGACTTATTACAATAAAAATCTTTACCTAAAGCTACATATCAAATCAAAGACTACATTGTTGGCACGCGAGTTCGGTGGTGGGATGAAAAGGAAAAAGTAAAATAAAAAAATAAACTTTTTTTTAAATTATTTATATAATTTGTTCTTGCAAATAAATAGAGATAAGATTTGAATAGAAAAAGAAGAAATTGTTTGTATTTATTAATACTCTCCTTGATCCTCTTTTCTTTTAACCTTCTGAAATTACTCTAACCAGATCAAACTTACAAAAAATAATTGAACTAAAATGAAAAAATACATTTTCTCTATATGAAATTTGATTTCCATGGAATATAAACAGTGTCACCAATGAGCTCATATGCACGGTCATGGAAAGCTCTGTAAGCTATTGAGATCTTCGTACCAATTAGAACCAAGAAGAAAACAGACCGAAAGCGATTTCCTTGAGCTCCAAGTTACTTCTAACTGGGAGAAAGAGACAGTGGATGAGCTGGCCATATTAGTGTAGTTAGTAGAACAGAACGTCATGAATTAATTTCAGACGATTTAGGTTGCAAAAGCACGCATTTATTCTGGGGTCGGTGTATTATTTGGGAATATGACGGATTAACTAACCCAACCAATACGGTTAATATATATCCAATTAAATCAGATCCCGTGCAACGATTTCAAATAATTGTGTCATTTGCAAATAATTGTGAAGAACGAATTTCTAATTTATTGGTATAAATATTCATATCTCGAAATATAATATTAGTACCTCTTTAGTAAATACTTTTAAATGTATTAACCTAAATATATTTTAATTGAAATAATTTTCATATATCAACAACTTAAATATAAAGTTTATATGTATTACACACAAACAATTTTACCCTCACACACTAATTATCTAATTATGTGTAAAATTATATATATATATATATATATGAGTTATGCAAGTGATTATCTCATTTCAAAATAAAAAAACCTACATTCATTTTACTCATTTGCTTAAACGGGTTAGACTGGATCGGTTTAGCCACACAAGAGTGATTTGACTCTATTTTTCAACAAATTGCATAAATTTTTTAGAGATTAATTCTGCTCAAACTAATAAATTAATGAAGATAATTACTTGAGGAAACCTCCAAGTAATACACCTACAAAGTTAAAAATTATTGTTATTATTTTTATATATACCCCCATGCTCTTGACCAGGGAAATTGTGAATATCTTGTTTGAATATTATGAGCCAATTCAAGGTTTAGGATAGACTCACAAGCGTCACCTAACTTTTGACTTCCATGTAATTTTCAAAGCTTATAAATCTAAATGTGGTCAACCAAATATTTAGAGAATTTCTTTTTTATATATTTTAAATGAAAGAGTTGAAAATGAGAACAGAAAATAGATACAAAATTGAACATAAAAAAATTAAAAACTATATTAAATTAATCCATCATCTGCATGCGTAGATGTCTGATTTTTTTTTAAAAAAATAATATCTGTTTTCCCCATATAATAAAAAATAAAAGAAAAAAATTAAAATCTCAAACCTCGAGTCTCATGCATGAATGTAAAAAGTAGACTATGGTCAAAAAGAGGATTTTCTATGGTCCAAATAAATTCCTTTATGTCCTATCGAAGAAGACTAGCGGCTTCAAAGTTTCAGACTTGAAATCTTACAATCCGAAACGGGTAAACATGTTTTGAAAAGCTATTGGTCGGCAAGTTAGTCCAACTTCCATCTCCATCACGTGAAGCAGATGAACACAGGCTTTTCCAGAAAACCAGATGAAGGAAAAAGAAGAATGTGTGTCACAAGTCATGGAGCAGAACGTGTTATCACACGAACTTTTTGTAGATAGAGGGCCCGACGTAATTTCCGTTGGACCCATGACGTGCTTAACTTGAGAAACTGTTTGTTTTACTTGCATTACTTATTCAATTTTAGTTTACTGATTTTGAACTTGGATCGGAACGGATTAACTAAACCCATCAAAGTTCTTGGTTATTACGGTTAAAATTAAGTCAGTTCTTTTTTCTTTGTTCAAATCGTTAAAATTAATCAGTACAGTAAATTTTGTGGGTTTTTGAATGGTAAAAACCCAGCTTGTGTCACCTAATTTATTTTATAATCGCTTTATTTTTACTTGAATGGAAATTCTAGGATCTGGAAAAAACGCATTTTAAGGACAGTAGCTCAGATTAACAATTAGAATGAATTAGACTATTGATTATGTGACAAATGGATATTTTACGGACATAGGCCTTTAAAGTAACATTTAATGTAGACAAGATTCGTCGAGGTTAGCATAGGCCTCCATTTAAAATATAATAAAAATCGACATAAAGCAGAATAAAGGGTCATCCGTTGGATTGTCGGCACTCACAACTACACTAAAAAGACAAGAAATATTATTTTATCCCAACTTTCATGTCCTCAGTTCTTAGCTATTAGCTACGAGCATATTCTCAAAGAAACCTTTCGAAACAGAAAAGGTTCCCATTAGAACATCTAAAGGATAAGACTTGCAGACAAATTGAATTTGGCATTCAAGGCAAAATTTCACAACAGTCATGAGAAAAGAAAACTGACAATGCAAGAATCAGACTAGATTCCTCAACCACTCTCTAAATCATTCCAACGACAAAGCGACACGAAAATAAAACAGAAGGCAAAGATCGTAAGAACTTGCAAGCAGCAACTTCTTTGGAACAAGCGAATTGTTACACACATCCCACATCTCTCATCTTCAGACTTAGAAGCATTTCCTGTGCACAATGGAAGGCCAGATTCGTCGTACTCCGCCTTTGCAATCCACATCTGCATCCAAACATATGCCTTCTATTAGCATCCTAGGTGAACTTCCAAATACCAAATACCAAATCCGCAGCAGATACAGTTGTCACATAATGACCGATAAGATAGGCCAAAGTGCCAAACAGAGTATAAAAGCCGTTAGATGCAGACAAATAAGGTATGATGGCAACACTAGATATTTACATGCCACGTCATTTAACTTTTTACATAAAAAGCCTCAGGTGTAGCCCGTTATTTCCATAGAGCTGCAACCTGGGCAACCCAAATTAGCTTTGGACAATTAACTCAACCCGCTTCATTTAATTTTTTAAATAAAAAGCCTCAAATGTAACCCATTATTTCCATAAAGCTAGAATTTGGGCATCCTAAATTAGCTTTGGATAATTAACTCAACCCAAATTAACATGGATTGCTATCATGACAAGTGTCATAGATAGCAAGTACTATTTAATATGGTCAAGGAACATACCTGTTGGAAGGTGCTGAGCGATGCCAGGATGGAGCCCCCAATCCAAACACTGTACTTCCTTTCAGGTGGAGCAACAACCTTTATTTTCATGCTGCTTGGGCCAAAGCGGTGATTTCCTTGCTCATTCTATCAGCAATACCTGGGAACATGGTGGTTCCTCCACTGAGGACAATGTTGCCATAAAGATCCTTCCTGATATCTACATCACACTTCATGATGGAGTTGTATGTGGTTTCATGGATGCCTGAGGCTTCCATTCCAATCATGGATGGCTGGAAAAGGACTTCTGGGCATCGGAAACGCTCAGCACCAATGGTAATCACCTGTCCATCAGGCAATTCATAACTTTTCTCCACGGCAGAACTAGTCTTGGAAGTTTCTAACTCCTGCTCATAGTCAAGGGCAATATATGCTAATTTCTCCTTCATGTCCCTCACAATTTCACGCTCAGCTGTAGTGGTAAAGGAGTAACCACGCTCAGTAAGGATTTTCATGAGGGCATCAGTGAGGTCCCGCCCAGCCAAGTCAAGACGAAGAATAGCATGTGGAAGGGCGTACCCCTCATAGATGGGAACAGTGTGGCTGACACCATCTCCCGAGTCCAAAACAATACCTGCAGCAAGACATAGGTGTAAATACAAAGCAGCAATTCTGAAAATTGGAACCAATTGGAACAATATTTCAATTACCATTTAGGGTAAAAGCCCTGTACTTGAAATATTGGAGCAAAAAAATTTTGAATGAAGATCAATCAAAGGATATGATTAACACATTGTAGTCAGCAACAAATATAAAGGCTGGTTAAAAAGGCGTGGATATATTAAGATGTGGTAGGAAATCTAAAACAAGATGTCAAGTGGCAAACTGAAAGATAAGCACCAGCAAATGAAATAATATAATGCTTGTAATTTTTAATATTCTTATCACTATTATTTGCAGTTTTTTAGAAGCACAGGTGGCACATGCATGATCAATAGATTGCTCTATAGTAAGTTTAAAGTATCAACTGCATCCAATGTTCCTAAAGTTGGATATGCAAACATTCTGTGCTGACATATTAGCATAGATGATAACTCATTCTCCTTTCTAAATTCTCATGTCATTTTTTTTTCCCAGATAACAGATTCATCAAAGTGCTTACCAGTTGTACGGCCGCTGGCATAAAGTGACAGTACAGCCTGGATGGCAACATACATAGCAGGAGTATTGAAAGTCTCAAACATGATTTGGGTCATCTTCTCACGGTTAGCCTTTGGGTTCAGAGGTGCTTCAGTGAGTAGAACAGGGTGCTCCTCTGGTGCCACACGGAGTTCATTATAGAAAGTGTGATGCCAGATCTTTTCCATGTCATCCCAATTGCTCACAATGCCATGCTCAATAGGGTACTTCAGTGTTAAGATACCACGTTTGGACTGGGCCTCATCTCCGACATAGGCATCCTTTTGGCCCATGCCAACCATCACACCAGTGTGACGTGGGCGACCCACAATGCTAGGAAACACAGCCCTTGGAGCATCATCTCCGGCAAATCCAGCCTGACATATGACATTGTATTGGAGAGGGAGAAAGGAGATAAGAGAGAGAAGGGAAAAAAAAAAAAGAAAAAAAGAAAAAGAAACATTTACAAAAGCCTCTACAGTGTTTGTTAAGAGTTTTCAAGATTCTAAATCTGATACCTTAACCATTCCTGTTCCATTATCACAGACAAGTGGCTGAATATCCTCACCATCTGCCATCTTTTATCAACAACTGCAGGTAGTAACATTCTTTGGATTAACACATAATTTATCTTCAACAAAACATCAAAACATGTGTGGCAAAACTAATTATGACTTTACTACAATAAGTATTGTTTAACTTAGACCACAAGTGTTTAGCCACTGGGTCTTCTTCTCATTTGAAAAGTTAAAGACTGTGGAATAGATCCCAAAATTCATCCAACCAATGCTTTCAGCTGGGCTTTAGTGAGTATGGCATAATGCATCCCACTATCCAAAATTAGGAAAAGTGTTTAGGAGTTTTTTTGCAACAATAAATTTACCATTTTAGATTGGAAGTGTGCCATGTGTCAGATTGTGCAAGTCAAAACCTGATCTGCTAGGTGTTAGTCCTTATAGTAACAAACTTCTAGTTTGATATGCATTATTCTCTCTGCAATAATTATGTATTCTCAGATCATTTTTAAAGGGTCTTTCTGATCATCACATAAAGAAAAATAGTTTACTTCAACTTAGAAAATTAAGCAGAATAGTAATATCAATACACCTTATAATAAGAAGCATCTGACAACCATGGATGATTGTTGCAGAATCCAAGTCATGATTCAACCAACTTAGTTATGTCTAGTAGATTGATAGTGGCTATCAATAAAAATAAAAAAATAAAAATAAAAATGAAAACAAAGAATGTTGAAGCAAATTGAAAATCTGGTAAAAAGGGCCATGAGCTAAAATGCAAAAATTTTATTGACTGAGGAAGACTAGTTATTTCACGTCAATAAATAAAATGCCACATCATAACAGGCTCCATGTTGTCTATAGGTAATTTAGTGGTACTGCCTTCTCCCAAGAATCAAGAGTTTATCGAGACAACCATTCTCAGTAGGATTACCATAATGACTGTAAAAACTTATTGTCATATCCTTTATTTTCATCCCATAAAGCATGCAGCAGATAAAATTCAATAGAGGACAAAGGAAACATACAGTGCTATATGACTAAAACAAGAGATATACCTATATGGCTTTGTTTCTCCAGTTGATTTTAACAGCGAATATAGTTACTTAAAGATCTAAGAAAACGTAATCTCCTTTAGAAAAAAGAGGTCATCGGAATTGGTTATGATAACCATCTGACCAACCATTGCTGACAATCTTCATTTAGTGGATAAATTAGATTAAAAGTTAATTAAGAAATAACATAGCGTGCTGTGTTAAATTCATCACATTTTCATCCCACACCACAGACCCATGCATGAGGCTGTGAGAGAAGCTAAAAATGTTGCAGACCCTTGACGCAAAGAAAAATAATGGAAAATGCATGCAAGTCCATGATTAAAGCTTTCCCCGCTAAAAGTTGGCATGTAGATGAAGAAAAGGAACATGTTAAGCTGATAGAGCTCAAGTAACATTGACTGGTGGTGACCGTTTGGATGCGTAACTTAACATTTTAAAATCAATTACCAAAGAACTAAATTTTTATCTCACAATGCATGCACCAGAGAAAGTCATTGCAGGCAGAGGAATCAAAATATGCAAATTCACTGTCGCATTCACCTTCATTCCAAACTACTAATTTCAAGAATCTTCAAATTCAAAAGTAATATTGCGGTAACGGTTAGCTATTCTGCGGCATATTTCATTTTAAGAAAAAATATGACCCCTCACGGATTTGGAATTACTCGTAAACCAATTCACAATATACATATTCACCGCAAAAAGACCGAATCACAGCAATTACCCCACCAGAACAACGGATCAAGAGTCCTGATCATCCATCGACACAGACCAAGAAACCTTTTCAAACAGCATACAGAATCATTACACTACAAATGCGCACAAATAGCCATCGATTAGATCACGAGCATGCACAAAGGCGACCGGATCTCTCAGAATCGAGACGATTATCCGCATCAAGAAATGTTAGTCTATGAAACACATTTCACAGAGACAAATATCCAGATTGTTAACGCTCCGGAGGAATTAAAGAATGAGAGACAGGGACCTGGAGGTGGAGTGATCTTCAATTCAGCTGGCCGCCTTGTGTACTGGGTGCCAATTCAAAAAACAGGGTAACGAATGGGAGGAACTGAGAGCAAACGCCCAAATATGGAACTGAAGAAAACAAGAAATGCGCCTTAGATTTAATTTAAAACCTTTGCCCGAATTTCCCGTTTATAGACTTGGCCCCCCGCTAGTTTGAACTTTGGGTCCAAAATCTTGATCCACGTGTCATTTGCGACCCGGGTTTCCCCCGAAACTGGTGCCATGTTGTTCCAATTTTACTTTTGTCCTTTTGCTTTTTTTGCCGATCGAGGGAATACTCCATTTTCTACCCCGAGCGATTTTAACAATTTACAACAGTACTCCACATGGTTAAAAAAATTTGACACTTTATAAGTTAAAAAAATTTGACTCTTTACTTTATTAAAATGTAAAATACTAAATTTTGTAATTTTATAATACATGTCACAAATTACTCTTTTATTTTGAATAGAAAAAAGAAATTATTTTTAAAATTTATAAAAAAATATGAGTGAGCAAACAAACAAAATAACTACAAATAATTACTTTTGAAATTATAAATAAAATTCAGCTCTATGTTTTCGAAAATGTATTAGTATTAAATATTAAACTTTTACAACTTTTTTAGGTTACATTAAGGGCTAAAATCTAAATAAAAATAATTTACATTAAATTGATTTGAAGAGATGAAATTCCTAAAATATCATTGTTTAGATGACCTCTTAATTAATTAAATAAGATTGTGCAATTCTTCACTCCAAGCTCTAGGGTAAGATTGATGTTTACGAGAAAAATTTTTACGTGTTCTCTCTTTTCCAAACATGTTTGACAGTTATAAAGTCACTGATATTATAATAAGAGCTTAATTCTAATAATGATGGAGGTAGTGTCAAGTCTATCATTCTATTTTTCCATAATCATGTCAACAACCTCCTTGAAACCCATTTCTAACTAAATTTTTTTGAAGTCAAAAAGCCCATCATCCAATCACCCTCATGGTCTTTGATCAATCTTTCACAGTTGACCCTTCCAATGCTTGGTTTGGATGACTAGTTTGTGTTTAGTTTCACTCAATCCACCTTTAGGGGAATCTATCTCTCCTACTTGTTGGAACCAATGCTTGAATGGAGGACCTAACCTAGGAGTAACCAATTGGCAGGCCAATAACCACTTGTTGATAATTTTCTCTGGTTCTGCTGGTTTAAGAAAGTCCTTCTCGAGTATGCTCTTGTTCTTCCTATTCTAGAAACTCCAAATGGCAATCACCCATTTGCATAGCCAAATCCCCCCCCCCCCATATCGACAACATTAGCCTTTTGTAGGTTGGTTTCCATCTAATCTCTATGTTCTATCATGAAAAACTTGCCTCTTAGAGGAGGGGGAATCATGCTGTTTAAAATCTCAACCACCACCAGGTTGTTCCTAAGAACATGGATGATAGATTCCATCGCATTTGCACAGTCCTTGCACCACAAAGTCACAATCACTCATTTGTTTCCAGTCTCCCATTAAAAGCTAACCAAGTAAAAAGTCTCACTCTTTCAAGTACTCAAAGTTTCCACACCTTATTCCATCTCTCATTCCTGACCTCTAGGTTCATTCCTTGAAACAACTTATACGCATTGCAAATGTTGAAGGCCCCACATCATTCACTAGCCCAAAATTAGCATATCCTAGTACAAGTTCGGAGAAGGGGAGAACTTGGCAACAACATCTAGGATCAAATAGGCATTTAATCTAGTCCAGCACCAACTGCCATTACGGCCCACCATCTCTGCCATTTTACAGTCAAAATCACCCTGGTCTAGTCCTACTCTGTAATCTAAAAGCTTAGTACTTTTATCAGCCCATTAATTTGCCTAAAAGTTGGCTGTTCTCCCTTTGCCTATGCTCGACATCTCAGAACTCAAAAAAGTGACCCACCCTTGAACAATATCGCTCCAAGTGTCAAGTCTAAAAGTTTAAGAGAGATAGATGTAATCAGATGTGTTCCCTCCCATATTTACCTTTGAGAACCTCTATCCAAGAGCATGACATGCCTTTTTTAATCTTCCAACTCAATTTCATAATATAGGCTACATTCATCTTTTTAACTCTTTATGCCTAGCCCTCCTTGATGTTTAGAATTACATAAAGTCATCCACACTCCTAAGTGTGTCTCTTTCTCGTTAACATCACGGGCCCAAAATAAAAGTACCTTTGAGTCCTTTTAAGCTTCTTGAGAATGGATTTCGGTAGGCAGTTCACCATCATCAAATAAATGACAATGGAGCCAAGGACTAACTTAGTCAAAGTCATTCTCCCTTCTACCAAGGAGGGAGAGATGATTGACTTGCCAACCTGCTTGCCTTTTCTTTACTCTCTCCACCTCATAGCTGAAGGTCTTTCTGTCAGATCTACCTTGAACAATAGAGGTACAAGGCATAGAATCATCTTGCCTAATTCAATGAAGCTAAAGGACTCCACAATTTGTCTTCACATCTCCTTGTCAACATTCTTGGAGAAGAATATGTGGGATTTCTTTTTATTTATTTTCTGGTTGGAGATCTTAAATAAAATAAAAAATAAAAATCAACACATTGCATAATACAGGCAATTTAACTTAAGTTTACATGCCCAAACAACAAAAGATGGTTTAGAAAGAGCGAGTGTGACACTCGAGGACCTCTCCTGCCAATGGCCATAGGAGACCTCAATCTCGATTAAGTGGGAGAGTTTCTCCATGCAGAGAAGTAAGATGTACGGCGAGAGTAGATCTCCTAGTCATAAAATATTTTTATGAAGGAGTAAATTAAAATTTGATGGAAGCCCAAAACTTGATACCCAAATTTCTGCTCTGGCTTCAACCTGCATGGTCTGTACTGCTGCATATCCCGCATTGTTATTCAGTGTTTAAGAAGAAATAACCTATGGGTGGAGGTTGGGCTATGTCTTGTCCAGCCCTGCTCGCAATAACCATTCAAGTTTCAACCAAGAGTTGAACAGAAGCCCAGC